ACGATTTGAGGAGCGCTTTTGTGGAAGCTATTGTTGATGTTGACCTCATTGACATTGCGTCTTTATCGGATATGGTGCTCGTTGACGGTTGATTTGATGACGGCATGGTGGATATTGTGTGATAACAGGAGCGGACCTGTCGTATAGTAACGAGAAGATTCTGAGGAAGGATTCCGATGGATTGAGATGCGTTATGTATCAACGCAGGAGGTTGGGACGACTTTTGTTGAGGATAATGTGTATGGTTTACTTTATTGGCTTGGGGATGATCGGAGCTATGGTCAGGCACGCGCGCGTTCTTATACTCACATACGAGACACAGCCAAAGCAATCATGAGTCCCCCCGTAGAGTCATCATAGCGACAGCGCATATGCAATCGCTTGCGCCACAAACATGTTCTCGGTGTTTGATTGCACGAACAGCCTCGTCAACTTGCTGAGGCAGTAATGCCGACAACTTTGAGTCACAACCAACGCAAGTGGCGGATATACACATGCATATCGAAAGGGCGTAGCAGTTGTTCTTGCCTAAAAGACGAGCCGGGGTAGTGGGGAGGTATAGAAAAGGGCTGAGTTGCACGCGGGTCCATTGGTGAATGACTAACATCAATTCCCCACTAGGACGGAAAGAGTATAGCGACTAACAAACCGGGAATTTAGCCGAAGCTAGGTGCTTTGTAAAGCATCGACTTCCTGACATTTCTCCATCTGCTTTTACTTTGGAGTCATCATATCGCTGCGCACAGATGGTGTTGAGCTCGTATTAGATGGGCTATGCTAGATGCCCACGGCTGATGATAGCCGCGTTACCTTTCTCGACAACAAACATATCGCTTCACAGCCACAATGAAGAGTCATCCTCGCAGATCCAATACAGGTAGTCATGGTTTGATTATCTGGCCTATGTACTTATCACCAATGACACTCTGTTCTCTATGCGGTGAAAGGAACCTTGGTAGAGCCTTGCTCCTTGAAAGTCGAGCCAATCTCACCCCACTTGATGGAGCTGAAAGTAACGGTAGGCCTCGGCTCAACCTTGATAATCTCAGCAGGGAAGCCTTCAGTCGCACTGCAAGGACCAGCCGCTCCGCTGTCGAGCCAGTTCATTCCACCGGTCTTGTCCCACCAGATGCTCAAAGCAAGAACCATACCACGAGACAAAGCATCACCCATACCCTTGTGGCCGCCGAGCTTGTTGTACATGGTTGCGCCTTGAGCGGTGCAGAAGGCCTGGTCCATGGTGAGGTTCATCATAGCATTCTCGATGACCTTGCCGTTTTGGACGTATTTGCGGACAATAGCCTGGAGAACACCATTCTTGGCCGGGAACTGGGTAACGACGGTGAAAGGCTTCGTGGTGTCGACCTTCTTGCTAGGGCCATAGTAGTCTGGGGACTTGCGCTGGTTGTATGGGTTGTCTCCGCATCCGTTCTTGTCACAGAGGCCGGAGGCGCCGCACTCGTCGCCTGTGCAGCCGAAAATGCTGTTCTTGCTGCATGTGTGGGGTGCGATTTGGGTAGCAGCCTTGTTGGCCTCCCAGATGTCCATCTCGTTACAGCAGACACCTTGGCCCTTGACGTTTCCCTGCATATGGTTAGCCGAAGTTCGAAATTGTCATCGAGCGTAACCGTACTTCACCGTTGATCCAGGGGGTGACGAAGCACTGAGCATCACAGTAACCGGTGCCGTAGGTGGCACCTCCTGGATTGAGCTTCGACCGTCCACCATTTGCCGCCATCTCGCTGAGGTACAAGGCACCGTTCATACCGCATGGGAGCTTTGACGTGTCGACATCGAAAGTGAATTCGTTGCCAGTCAACTTCAGCATCTCGTAGTTCTTCTCATCCTCGGCCAGGAGGTATACCCTAGGGGAAGCCTCGTTACCTTTGGAGTTGAGCATGTCTAGGCGGAGGCTGCTTCCCTGGGTGGTGACACCCAGGGCACTGTAGTCGGATATTCCATCCATGACGCAGTTCTTAGCACATGTCTCCTTGTCGGGGCATACTGATTTTGGAGGCGTGGAGCCGAAATCTCCACACCCAAGACTCGGGTTGTTCTTCTGGCGGATACCGTGTGACCCAGCATCGATAACGATGGCAGAGTTGACGGCTTTGCAGCCTCCAGCTTTGGTGCACTTCCACGTCTTGAGCTTGGGGTGAACCTCTGGTGTGGTTCCTAGAAGGGATTGGGCGCTGGCGAGACCCACAAGGGCTGCCGTGAGGAAAGTGTACCGAGGCATAGAGAATACTTTGAAGAAGTGTAGTCTTGGACGAGATGGAAGTCGTTGCACTGCACTCTCAATGTTGTAGATTGCGACGGTATTTATACCAAAGTACTTCTTCTCTGAGGTACTTTTCGGGCTGTCCCATCTCCGGTTGCAGTAGCCTCGTGCCCACCCCAATATAACCGCGGCGATAACCTTTGAGCCACCAGATTCGAGAGCCGCAAGTAGTTTGGGAAACATCGTTCAGTGGATCTCTATGGGGCTGTAGGATAGATGTGATTGGCTATGGGAAGAACTTCGGCATTACTAGGTGGTTTTAAGGCGCCCGTTGTTTCGAGCACTCGCCTTACCATCTCTTACAGCGCATCTCGGCCCGGGAGAAGAACGTATGGAACATTCTTCAATATGACATTGTGCATTGCCATTCGACGGATTAGATTGCGGTTTGATTGCGGGGCCCCGCAACGTTTATCCGGAATCATTGCCCCAATCAATGTGCAAGATTTCGGTAAGGAATGTTAAAGTAAGGTCCGGGAACATGCCAATCACTACTCGGCTGTAACAAGCTTACACCATGCTTTTGATATCCAAGAAAAATATTGAATAATGTAGAATTGAGGTATATGAGATTTTGCGATGTGTACGAGAGAATTTAAGAGTAGATTATCTTCAGGCACCGGCAGAACATCAAGCGCATGCGCCAACACTGTCCGGCATTTCTCAACCTTGGAGTCCACGCGTTTGGAGGCGTTTAGGAAGGCGATAAGACTTACACCTGGACCTGTCACCAAATTTGAGGACAGATTCTATGCCCACCTAGACACGATCTACAGCGCGTCCGTATTTTGATCATGAGTTCACATGAGGACGTCGTGATTGGTCGCACAAGTCGTTGTCGCCCGGGTGGCTGGTTGTCCTTTCCGAAGGACTACTTCATACTCAGTGCTTTAGAAAATTTCAGGCACGTTGTTGATTGTGTGAGTGGTATACCGAATGAGTCAGTCCATAATTGCCCCGCCTGCCAAATAACGCTTCACCGCTGATCTGCGCTTCCAAGACGGCGCTGGCATCACCACGAGCAATCCGTATCCTCTTATGTGCAAAGCTCGTATGTTTTGAAACGCTGTGCAAAAGTCCAAACTGCCTCAGAAATTCACTGCCGTCATACGAAAATCTTATTCCGAGTTGTTGGGGAGCGCTAAGTCAAACTTCAGGGTCTCGCGTGAAAACGTATTCGAGACCATCCGGCGTGGCGTGCCGACACAACGGCATGACACGCATATCTGTCGACAGTCTTCGCCAACTCTATTGCTATGGCCAGCGGCGGCTGATCCACGAGGCATGGAGCCTCGCTTGTCAAGCATCTGGATCTTCCTATTCTGACCTCAGATTTAGGTAACCAGAATTGATCTCCTGTCAGGATAAAGCAATTGCGCGAATCCGGGGTCGCCGTAACTGAGTCGAAGGTGGGCATGTTTTCGCCTCACGAGTCGTATGGGAGGGTGCCTGAACCCGCAAAACACACTCCGCGGTGAGGACTCATCTTTGCCCTCATCAAGGCCGCGGACACATGACTCCAGCTTCTGCAGCGCCATGCCGGTTGCAGCGTCTCGGATGCTTATTCCGACGTACGCCTCGAAGAAAGACGACTCAGAGCTGAAAGTGCATGTTTTAGCTTATACATCCAGACGAATGAGATGTCGCGAAGTTGGTCGTGTGGTACAATATGTACATCCGCTCGAAGTCCAGCCACAGTATATCAGTAATTTGCGTAGGTCGAACAGCCCAGGCTTGGGTTGTGGCTTATTTTTTGTTTTCGCATGTGTAGTCGGGTTGTAAGAGCTGGGACTTCCTAGAAGTTCATTGTTTGTTATATCTATTTATGAGAACCCACCGTTCTTTTACAAGCCTTCCAAGCCAAAAAGAAGTAACTGCAGTAGCGGCATGGTGGAGTACATGGTGGACACCATCCGGCCAGGAATCCCTTCCATGGACGGCGACCATTTTTAAATGACGCAAGATTATTTGATTGATTGTAACCCGTCTTGATAATAATTATCAAGAGAGGCCAAGTCTATGCGCAAGGGAGAAGGACTCAGGGACAGGCAGAGTGGGGACGATCACGATCTGAGAGGGCGACATGATCCCCATGCAGCTGCGCGGTCATGTCCTTTCGTAAATCTTTTCTAGCGGTGGCTTCTTTTAGACAATCCCCCGCCACAAGAGATTTGGAATGTGGGGCTGGCAAGGTGTGGTGAAACTCCCAAGGGACTGTTCCGCCGTAGTAGAGCCGAATATCGATGTCACGGTGTCGAGACGAGCTCCGCTTGAGTAATTCCGATCAGGGCATGCTTGGCCATGCCCCTGTCACCGGTGCCGCATTACCTGAACTAGATCGCCACCCGGATACGAGCCATGGCGTCACGGTTGTCAAAGGAGACGATACGAGTTCTTATCGTGACGGCATCGCACGAAAGCCGGGCGTCTGGCAAGCGGCAAGTTTGTTGATTAGCAGAGAGGTTTCAAGGTACTAAGTTTTTGTCTGTCATGTTAGGTACCTCGGATGAGTTCCCTCGCCGGCATACTGGCAAACTAGTCCCTGAGCTATGCACGGCTGGAGGTTTTGTCGCAAACCCAGGCACAACCGGACAGGCGAAGAGCGGGCGTGTTATGCAGGAGTCGAAGCTGGCTCCATCAGCCTGCAGCGAATGGGATTTCTTACCCCCGGGCAGATCATAGATGGCTACTACCGGGGAAGTGGATAAACGGTGCGAATAGAGACGCTCGGAACGGTACGGGGGCGTTCAGTAGGATAGAGTTTGTTCTCCTGAAGTTTGTTTTGCTGCTGCGGAGGATACACAGGGCATGGAGACCTTGGACGGGATACAGGTCGTCGAGCCGCAGGGCATATAGCCGCTAGTTCTCTTGCAAGTGTCCGGGCCGGTGACGAAAACCAGGCAGTCTAGTTTGTGCCGTGAGCTGTCAGGCCAGGGCACGGGGATGAAACGAGCAGTTCGGGAAATGAGCCGCGCAAGACACGGCACTTGGAGCACGTGTATATGTCAGAAAAAGGTTCAGCATTCAGGGCGGGACAGGAGATTTTACAACTAGTCTTTGTCGCCTTGTCCCCCTTTCGCCCAGCCGAGTAAGAAGGATGCGCCATGCTCGAGCCGCTTGCATAATCCCGAACCTAATTGGCTGCACTAGCCGCATACGGGTCAAGCGCCCGCTGTGCCCCTCATCTTCGGGACCACGGCCGACACAAAAACACCACAACGCTTGTCTAGCCCAGGTCCTAGCTGCCCACTGCTTACGACTCGGATTCCTTTGTCCACAATTTGCAACCACTGAAGAGGAGGCAATGGCTGTGCGAATCCACACGCAATGTGGCACGGACAGGCCCAAGGCAAGTTGCCGATCTTCCACCAGAAGCCTGGCCCTCACTTGCCCCACGACCACCCTAGCCCGAACAGCTGACTGTCTCGACTACCGTCGCAAGGATACCCAGAGCAATTGCACATCGGTTTTCCTGCTCACAATATTCTAGCGTTCAATTCATGCTAGCAACATCCACACGGCTCGGAGAAAGTGTTGAGACGTTTGTGAGGCACCACCTGGGCAAGATCGCCCCAGACGGCATGATGAAATCGTAGACATGTACAACATGCCGCTAAATTTTTCTTGATTCATCGTCCTTCCCACTTGATCTGTTTCTTTTACATCACCTTCATCTTCCTCCCTCGGCCAAACTCCCTATACGCCGATGTTCAACATGGAGGACCGAAGTGGCCAAGTCCTAGGCATAGCTCTCACTTTCTTAGTCCTAGCATGGGTCACTGTTGGACTCCGCTGCTATGTGCGGTAAGGCCTGCCCGCTCCAACGTCCACTGTACCGTAGAGGCCGTCGTACTAACTTGACCCTTAGAACCTTCATGGTGAAGGGTTTCGGCATCGATGACTACACAATGCTCCTGACGTTATGTTTCTTCACATCATATCTCGTCTGCCAAATCGGCGGTGCCCTACATGGGACCGGTATACGCCGTGAGAAACTAACGGATGCCAACGCCCAAATAGCACTTCACTTCTGGTTCTTCTGTGAGATCTTCTACACACTATCGACGTGTATGCTCAAGATTTCCGTCGGCTTCTTCTTGCTGCGCATTACCATTGTCCGGTTACACCTCTGGATCATCCGCTTTATCATGGTCGTCTCAGCAATCGTCGGAGTCGCGTACACTTCAGTCGTCATCTTCCAGTGCAAACCCATCTCATATTGGTGGGATCTCGACACGAACCACACCGGCACCTGTCTTTCGTCAACACTGGTAATGAACTTTACCTTTGTAGTATCAGGGCTGAACTCGTTTGCCGACTGGGTGTTTGCAGTGCTCCCTGTTCTCATTGTCAAGGATCTTCAAATGAAGAAGCGCATGAAGTTCGTTGTGGCAGGCGTAATTGCTCTCGCAGCAATGTAAGTAACAGTGCCCTTTTACACATTCCTCTTCGTAGCAGTGTCGCTAACCTTTTCAACAGTGGCTGTACAGCTACCATCGCTCGCCTTCCCTACACAAGAACCCTCAAGGGTTACAAAGGAGACTTCCTCTACCGAACCACAGACTTCGCCATCTGGAGCACAGTAGAAGTAGGACTAGGAATAACAGCCGGCTCCATCGCAACCCTACGACCACTCCTGAAACAAGCTTTCGAAATCACACGTTCGGCTTCCGCCATGCCCTGGAGCAAACCCTCCCTCTCCTCCGGCCACATGGAATCCGGAAAAGAGCTCAGCAACCTCAAGCACTCAATTCAGAAATCAACCACCATCACAACATCGCGGGCGCGAAGAGAAAGCGCGGGATCAGACGAGGAAATTTTCCTAGGCTCAAGCATGCCATCCGAGTCATGGCAGCACCAGCAGAAACTGCCCACTTACATAACAACAACCACCGTCGACGACAACCGCGTCGCCCGCTCGCAATCACAAAAAGGCCACCCGCACAGGCCCAACGTGGAGCGTAAAGGAAGTCCCAGTGGCGCCAGCTCGTCAACAATCGACAGCAAGGAATCGGCGAATATACCCAGAGCTTATGTCCATGGACGGTTCTGATTACGAGGCCGGATCTTCGTGTAGCTCGTATTATTTATTTATTCTTAATGCAAAAGGCTCGAATGTAGCTAGTCCATTAACGTGTGCCGACATTAGCGCAAGCCTCACTCCCCACAACTTTCTTTCCTATTTCTCTGGTATGGATCGTCCTGCCTTGTCCTCTTTCGTCCTCAAACTAACCACGCCGACATCCGTATATGCACTTGTCGTTCGTTTCCACAATTTCCACAACTTACACTACACTAGTTCATGCTTCTCTGACCTCGATCGACCTGCCTTGTCCTTTTTTGTCCTCAAACTAGCCATTCTGCCGTCATGTCATCCGTAAATGACCTGCGTGAAGTCCATTCAACTCCCACTAAACCGCCGCGTCCTCGCTCTCCCCTCCATCTTCTTCTTCAACCTCTTCTTCTCCCACCTTATCACCCTCCTCTCCCGCCTTTGCATCCCCTTCACCCAACACACCCTCCAACTCCTCCATGCGCTCAGCATACGCATTCACGCGAGCCGTCAGCTGATTCGCAGCCTGCATGAGTGCCAAAGCCACTTGAATCAGATCGTGTACCTCGTTCTTCTTTGGGGCCGCCTTATCGAGCGAATCGGCTGCTTTGTTCAACTCGGTGTAGAGGCGCTGGATGACGTCGACTTGGGGGCTGACTTCGCCGGTTAGCAGTGTTGCGCCAGATTGGAGCGCGGTGCGCGGGCGCTTGTGGGAAGGCAGTGTGAGGAGGTAGGTTGTGAAGTTGCTCATGGCTGCGGGTGCGGATGTAGATATGGATTTTGTAGTCATTCGGTGAGTAGATGTTGCTGGTTGGAGATGTGTGGGCAGGTACGTGTGAGGAGATGAAGTGGGGGTGGGTTATGTACTTTGTAGGACTGGGGTTGGGGCAGGCAGCAAACGGGCGGTTGCTCATGCGCAGGTATAGCGTGATGGTGGCACAAATGCAGAACGCGCAGGAAGCGCAAAGCAGAGCTGCAGATCACGTGGTTCAACCGATGAGACAATTTTGATAACTCTTTGGCTCTTTTCTGGTCAACCGTGTTTATCCTCATTTGGATATATAGTAGCATTCATATATGTTACAGCATGTCATAGTGAATCCTACCTAACATCGTTATTCCTTTCCCCCAAAAACGCCAATCCCAGTGCCAAATGCCATGCTACCAGAGTATGTCTGAAAACGCCGTCCGCAATACCTCAGTCCTCGTCTTCTGCATCTCAGGTGCAATGCCGACCAAATCCAGGATTTCAAGACACTTCCTCGCATCGTCTTTTGCGTCTCTTAGTAGAGGGTCCGCCGAGGGTGGCAGACCTGTATGGCTGGGTGACAGCGGTTCTGCTTGCTGGCATAGGATGCGTGCCATGAGAAGCTTCACCAACAAATCAGCAAAATGAACATGTAATTAGAAGAATAGATATCAAGACTCACCGCCTCCTCAAACGCGCGATGCTGGAACACCCACCACACACTAGCATCGATTTTAAGGTACTCCCAAAAGTGGAAAAAGGACTGCAAGGCCATTCTAGCTGCTTCTAGGGCGCCCTTGACGTCACAGGGTACGCCGGCCGTGGTGTTCTCGTCGGCCTGTATTGCCATGACGCAGTGCCAGAAGTTACTACGGAAAAAGAGATTCTGTCTCAGACCGCGGGGATTCAGCTCTGCCATGGTTTGTATGGCAGCGTCATCTGAGACGGTGAGTTCCACGGGGAAGCTGCTGTGAAGGGCAAAGTATTTATCGACCAGCTCTGCTTTGTGGGCAATGGATGTGGTGAGAGGTGATGCTAGAGACCGGGGTACGCAGACTGTACGAGATACGAGCTCTGCCATGTGCCACATTGAGCGGATGTATCTGCGATCTGAAAGCTCATAAGGTGGGTATAGATCAACATCCGAGGCAATATTACTTATGCTCATGGGGTTGATTACAGAGTCGGTTGCGCCGTTTGTGGCGGAGCCGTTGGGGATATAGTCGTCTAAATCGTCGCTTAGGGACTCTGGCTGGATGTCCGAGAAGACAGTCGTCGGTGGAAGCTTTAGAAGAACAGTAAGGAAGGTGTCTTGGAAGAAGATGGCTTGCCACAGCTTCCGCCTTTGTTGCTTATCGCTTCGGGAACAACGGGGGGTAATGATGTCAGGATCGCGATGTAATCCCATAGCGTAGGCTTGTCGTACTAGAACACCACCAAAAGCCCATGCGTCGGAGGCGTGATTGTCATTCATTAAGAAATAACCTATCAAGACCATAGCTTGCAATGTCCTGACTGAAGCTCGACTAAGATATGATGATATCCGCAGTGCCTGCTGAGCAGCTGAAATGTAGAATTCGGCAATTTGCGCTCGTTCTCGGTTATCAGGCGTATGGATAAACTGCGTGCCCATGGCATATACGACGAAGTGAAGAGCTACTAGGACAGGATCGGCTGCCTGTTTCTCTTCCTGTGGCAGCGACCAGAAGCGCTCATAATCTGCATGGAAGTTCCTGCGGTGGACCATGGGATAAACTGGGTCGACGGCATCGAAGTATTTGGCAACGAGTATGTCTGCTTGTTCTTTGGCTGGCAATACACCAACCACCTCAGCAAGACCCCCACGACTTGTCCAGTAGTTAGCAAAAGGATGTTCGGATCCAAGACCAAAAAAGGGCGCCGGGGTATGGTTTGAGTAGGGAATATTAGACAGCAAGAACGGTGAGGAGCCTGATGATGATAATGACACACTCCGATACTGTGTTCTAACAGGTGTTGGCGGTACCTGAACCTAACGAGTGGGTCAGCAAAATGCTGGGATGCCGGTCCGAGTTACGATGCATCGGTCGCAAAAACGTGTTCGGCGCCGATAGAGTGGGCGAACACGGGTTCACCGGTAAGCCTCATGATAGGCACGACGGAAATAAGAAATTGTATTACCTGGATCTTGCCTTGTGGCTGCGGGTCACTGCCAAGCTGTAGTGAAGGTTTTGCGCTCGTCTTTCTGGATCGTCCCGTACTTCGCGCCGCGCCAACTCTGTACAAGTGCTTAGTAGTCGCTACCCCAATGACGCGACCAACACTTACTTGTCTGTGGACGAGGCGATTAGATTAGCGATTTCTGAATACTTGCACATGGATTGTCTTTTGATGCAAGCCAGGCAATGAGGCCGGGTACGGTCACACTGTGCGCACCTTCAGCGTAAGCTCTTGTTGTTCAACTCGAACAGCCAGTTGAAAGAGAGCATCTCTTGTATTTAACCCATTGTCCACACCCTAAGAGGTGTTACGGGCCCTAATTTTCCATGAAGAGTTGATCTGCATGTTTATTGTATGCAGCGCTTACGTTCTAATGGGTACATTACAAGCAACAACAAGCTTTGTCGGCGCCGAAAGGATGTGCACTCACTTTTGTCTTGCGTTCAACACACTCCTCACAACTCAGCGTGGGCTTATTGCGCTTTTGCTTCTTTCTGGGTGGCGCATCAGGACTTGTTGAGGGCTGCGTCCTCTCGTCCTCAGCCTTCATGCTGCAGCACGGGCGACAATCGTATCCGCGTGAGCTTGATCCGAGTGTTATTTCCCTGTGACGCGATAGGAAGCAAGCGGGCGGCCTGGCATGTGACGCGAGGCTGTCGTGCAAAGGGACGGGAATAAAGTGAGGTCGATGTTTGTTTCCAGAGCCCGACAAAGGACAACAGATTGCGCGGGGAGCTGGGGAGGCACCTTAGCCACTGCTTGGCATTCACAGGAAACTGGGCCTAGAACAAGTACCTTCACTGGTTACGTCAGCTTGTCAGTTGCACGTTAATTTAGGCTGTAGAGATGAATGCCTCCAGGTCAACTTGAGCTAGTGTTGACTAGCAAAAGGCAGCGTATGATGACGTTGGCTGCTGCGCGTCCTGATTCGCCTATCTCCGAGGCGGCACAGCGTCAACACTTGTCGTACGCGTCCATGACAACGTTATGACAGGTAGAAAGGCTATTCACGATCCATCTGCATGGTATCTTCTCCAACGTAGATTGAAAATCTCTAATAGTCGTTGCACCAGCCTTGCGCACCAACGATGCTGACGTCTATTAATAGGTTACCGTGGTTCCGCATGGTAATCGCGACATAAGGTTTCAGCCTCGTACCTACTTCATACTTCACCACCACCTACTAACTCAAATACACTACATCATGCACTACTTCCTTCTTCAACAGCCTGCGCAAGGCAATCGTGTTAACGAAAGAAACAAGGCAGGTGCGGTCGACATAGGCAATACTTGTAAGGCGATTCGATGGAGACTACTAAGAGGCAAGTTCAACGATGCCTGTAGGTATAGCAACGGGAAGCACCGAAAGACTTGGCACGCTAGCGGAGGCCGGTTAGCTTGCCGGCAAACCCCCGGGAAAACAGGGAGAAGACAGGGAGAGGTGAAGGAAGAAAGCCCCAACAAAACGGAAGGAACATGGTGTATGTCACATTCAGATACTCCTAGTAGAGCGATTCCATGGTAAATGTTACCCAACCACGTATGATACCATAGATTGAGAGGAGAGCATATGAACCCAAACCAAGGCCGTAAAGCTACCTATTTCCCACCACTACACCCAGTAACTCTCATCCAGAGGAGTACCAGATTCGCAGATCCCACAGACAATGATCATATCCCAATAACCTACCTACACAGCCCAAGTCACTGTTGCTCGTTTTTCTTTTTCGTTTCCTCATCTCCAAGGGTTCTGTCCAACCCCCCACACTGCACCGCCGTCGCCCCCAAGCCTGGAGGAACGGCTGAGACGTAACCGCAGAATCTGACTCAAGTATACTGTCTCATAGCATCGCGATACCCTTTTCCGCCGCGCATGTCGTCTTCGAAAGCTTCGGCAACGTCAAGCACACGCTTCACATACTCCATGCTGAAGACAGACTTTTCAGCCAGGGCAATGGATTGGGAGGTCTTGACCGTGTTCTTGATCTATAGATCCGTTAGCAAATGATTCCACATGTACAGAAAGCCATGATGACACATACCTGTCGGCCATTCATATTTCTTTTACTCAATTCATCAAAGTCCGCATCGGTGAAGGGCTTGACTTCCTTCTCATCCTTGTCTTTCTCCTCCTTCTTCGTAGTCCCGCCCTTCTTGTCTGCTTCAGCCTCTGCCTCGCGGCTCATCTTTTCCACCTTGCCAACGTGGTGCTGCCAGATCTTCTTCCTTGCCTTGGCGGGGAGATTGTCATATCGAATGCCCATGTGGATTCTCGACTGGAATGCTTCATCAAAGGTTTCCACACGGTTTGTTGTTAGGAAGAGGATGCCCTGGTAGTACTCGGTTAGGCGGAGGAATACAGAGACCAGCGAGTTGCGGTGGATGTCGTGGGGCTGGCGTGCTTCGAGGAAAACGTCCGCTTCGTCTAGGAGAAGGATGGCGCCCCAGGAGTGGGTAATGTCCATTATGCGGTTGAGGTCAGTTTCTAGAGAGCGGCTGTTGGTGCCGAGCTCGCCGGCGGAAACGGCGTAAAGAGGGCATTTGAGGTACTCGGCGATAGACTCGCCGGTTAGGGTCTTGCCAACGCCCGGGGGCCCGTGGAGTACAACGTTGAGGCCTTTACCCTTGCCCTGGATGACGTCGTCGATGGTTTTGGCAGCATTGAAGCGATGGCTAGAGACGAGACCCTTGAGGTTCTGCTTGATCTGGCTGGGCAATACGAGGCTGGAGAAAGCTTCGGCATTCCACTTGATCTCATCAATACCTGAGAGTGAGAACTCGAGCCAGAGCTTCTCGGAGAAAGCAAATCCGAGGACTACTGGTGAAGCAATGAGAAGTTCTTCTTCTGTGAAGACGTGGCGCTTGGTTTCCGAAACATCCTCATCGCCGCTAAGCTGTTGCCCAGTGCCTTCGCCTTTCTCTTTATCAACGACGCTCTGTGGAACCCGGATGGGATGCTTCTTCCCCTTCTTGTCTTTCCACATGACAATGCGCATTTTGTCTTTCTCCTCATTCTTTTCTTCTTCGTCTGATTCACAGCAGCAGTCGTCATCGTCATCTTCGTCCTCCTCTTCTTCGTTCTGAGCCAGTTCGTCCTGCTTCAAATAGGACAACGGGTAGTTGGGATTGATACGACGGAAGATCGCGGGATCGACCATGACACGCCCATTGATGATGAAGCGAATGATGCTGTTTTTGTGCTTCATGTAGGCGATGCCCTTTTGTAGACGGTAATTCATGCCCTGAAGTGCGACAAACTTCATGCCCCTGGAGATGAGCTGCTTCTTGATGCCCTTTGAGGATAGTCAGCGAACAAGTTCCTCCCGTTGACAGTGTATCACACTTACCTCTGGATCTTTGTGGTACTTTAGTGGATACGCGGCAAGACTTGTAATCTTCTTGTGTCCCTTGAATGCTTGGATAAAAATTTGGTGATCCCCAAGACCAAAGGATTTGCCATCGTACTCCAGGTACTTCCCGTCTACATACCAGGACTTGACACCCGTCATCCAGCTCTCATATTCATAAGCTGTATCAACCTTGAAGCATCGCGGATCATCCTTGTTCTGGTAGGTCGGAGTGAATGCAATCGTGTTCGGCTTGAACAAGGCCCAGACCAGGTCGTACGTGATTGTGCCCGCTTTCAGCATAGGCTTCAGCGCTTTCCGTGTTGCTGTGTAATCTTCGTCGATATAGCTCAAAAGTAGCTTGCATTGCTGAATCTGATGTTTCAGTCGCTTCTGCTCCTTCGACCTTTTGGCCTTCTTGAGCCTCGTCTTCAACGTTTTCTTGGTGAAGTTCTTCAGCTCATCATAGTAGTGGAAGAGCGTATGAGGATCGATTTGAGGTATATCTTCGACCAGGCTGATGCTCTTGCAATCCTTGAACACCTCTTGCAGCGCATTCCGAAGTAGCTTCGATTTGATGTCCAGCTGGGTTTCCTGGTACTTGCCTTCCCAGTTGAGCCTCCTGCGCACAGTGAAGACGCAGTCAAATTCATCCTTCTGGACCGTGTTGCTTTCGACAAGTTTCCAGTCATGTATCTTCATGTCGAAGACTTGATCAACACGCTTGAACTCCAGGGCGTTCTTCTTCACTGGCTGTTCAAGTTTCGTCGTGGCAACAACGGCGGCAGCAGCAGCCGCGTTCACAGAGGCCTGTTTTGCCTTGAGACCTTGAAGAAGAGCGCTAAATTTGGTCACTTGAGTGTCAATGGTGTCTCCAGGAAGTGGAGGCTCAGGAGGCGAAGCTGGCAAAGCGGCTTCTTCATCGTCCGATGATTGATCTGACGATGACAAGAAACTATCGAAATTTTTCGACTTCTTGCTCTTCCGCTTCGCCTTTGATTTTGCACGCTTGCGCTTCAAATCTTCATCTTCCGATTCGGACTCAGTGTCGTCTTGGCTTGAAGATGTGTCAGAATCACTGTTTTCGCTGCTGCTATCAAGCTTCTTGTTCTTCCTCTTCTTAGCTTTGGCCCGTAATGCTTTCCGACGAGATTTCTTATCTTCGATCTGGGGTTCGGATTCAGATTCAGAGTCAGAAGAATCGTACGACGACTCATCCTCGCTAGTGTCGTACTTCTTGCTCCTCGCCTTCTTGTTCTTCGCCTTTTCTTTTTGTTTCTTCTTGGCTGCCGCTCGCTTCGCTGCCAACTTCCGCTTCTTCTTGCGCTTAGCTTTCTCATCCTCGCTACTCTCCTCCGCCTCGCTGCTACTGTCAGAGCTACTAGCCTCGGACACAGGAGTCTCCTTGACTTTGCGCTTGGACTTCTGAGATCCGCGCCTGCCCTTCTTATCGCTCTTCTTCATGACAATGACTACATCTTTCTTTGGTTCCTGAGCTACAGACGGAGAAACTGGGCTTTGATTTTCTTGGCTCTGCTGCACTGTCTCGACTTTTTGAGTCTCTACACTATCTTGCGAAGACTCCATCTTACGCTCTTGTAGCGAGATGTCGTCGGGGTCAGAGGCCACCGACGGGGTGGGAACGATGACTGGCGAAGACGTTGATGTGTCTGAAAGCTTCTTGTTTGTCTTGGAAGGTATAGAGTGAGCAGGGGACTCTGGACTATCTTGGTCGTTCATGGGCTGCAACTTGACAGGGCTCTTAGCCGTGTTGACTTTTCAAAGCTCTTTGTCAAACTGCTCAGCTGTTTGCTTGGAAGGTATAAGATAAGAAATTCCACAAATCAAACAATCCCGAAGAGAAATGAAGGACAGAGAAATGTCTGTTCTGCGCACCTTTTATCCTCACGCAGAGCCGCAAGTGAGTGCTTATCTTAGCTTCTCCGATGAGAGACTCACAAAGTGCCACTCGCTCACAGCTGCACCAACACCAGGCTCCAGCTCCTGTATCACGGTGCTGTCTGGTTACCCCGCAGTCACTAAACAGGATTCGGCAAATGGAAGACCCTGCAGCTGGATCCAACAAGGTTGAATCTGTTGGGAAGGCAACTAGGACCGTATCAACAAGAGATGTGGTGAAGTAAAGGCTGCGCATACCTGCTAGACTCGTCAGCAGAGTCTGCTGCCTAACTGGTGACCGTATAGTACGGAGAAACGTTCTCGCGATGTATTGGCTCGACCAAGCGTTATTGCATACAGTCTCAAAATTAGAATGAGTAATTCCGGGCTGACCGGTGAGAAGGTATCCAATGTAAAGATGGAGGGCGGCTCAGCCTTGTCTTACAACGCGCTCAGCCTTGCCGGTATGTGTGGATGCGCTCCCTCGCCACTTGCAGTAACTCCTTGTAAGATAGACTTGCAGCCTAGTATGAGGTATTCAGATATGATTCAACATGTGCAAACCCATCCATAGCAACTGTCCCGCTATTCTTATAATACCTCCAGAAGGATTTGGTGGCGCAGTGGCTGTCCTCGACATGATGGTGCATCCTCGATGCAGCATACGTGCCCTGTGCCTACACGTCTGACCAAGCTCGTCCCGGTCATGTTGTGCACCCATTCGTGGTGCTGAGATGCAGATGTTGTCGTTCGTGTGCCACGGTCAGTGGCCAGACGGCCTCGACTAGCGATGTCGGAAGCTTGGGATAATACGCTACTGTAGCTGCAGTGACTGGGTATATACCGTCTTAGCGACTGCAGTACAGCATTCGCCTCACTTTTCAATATCACTCGTCATGCACTGCATTGGGAACTCTAATTTACATGAAGAAAACAAGTGCGAATCGGGTTACTACACAAGCTTCCACTGATGATTGGTATATTCGAGGAAATAGCAGAGCTACGCTTCTAAACCTGACAAGGAGATTCTACCTCACGCAGTCTGTCGGCAAAAGTACCACTGTCGAACGCCCCATGGATGCATGCAACATGTACGAGACAGACCTCGTGTGTGCATGTGATACGCTGACCAGACGCCAACCGCAAGTTTCCTAAAATGTCCTGCAGCTCCTCCAAATCACGCCCCCGCATTACCAGAGGCTGGGCACGAAGTAAGTTGGACACTGTACACGCCTTGCACCGTCGGGGTGACTTTGATGCTCATGAACTTGTGTTCTTCTTACCCAAATGCATGTGTCCCAGCCCGTGCTCCTTTGCATCCTTCATCTCACTCTCAGGCCTTCCGTCGGGTAAGTCGCTAGTGGGAGGCGCGCCCGAGACGTGATATTTGACGCTCTCCACAACCTCGCCAATACGGCTCCCGGTGCCATGGTGCGACCCGGCAATCTGGTCTGGAGATCTCGAATCACTAGCTGTGGTGCTAGCATCTTTCACATGACTGGGTAGCGTGGGGTCGGAAACGACCTCTCCTGTTGCTGCCGGCCCGTTCCCTTTAGTCTCCCCGCTTGAGTGGGTATCCTTCGGCTCACTCAAGATTTCCTCGCCGTTCGGGCCGTGAGTTCGCACGTCTCTAGTATCGCTGTCTCCGCTGTCTCTCCTCCCGGGGACATTGACAACGGTTTGTTTCTTCTTGTTTTCGCTTCTCACGCTGTTTGCCCGGCTGATGTCGGATTTGTCGTTTGGCGGGCTCGACGTGCGTACGCCCAAGTCCTTGCCTTCGGAAGGCTCCACTCCCTTGGTGCCCCTCCAGTCTGCCGGTTCTACTTGTTGAACGGGCTCGCCTTCTTTTGGTTCTTTGATAACTTTGCCAGGCCGGCCTTCGTCGGCAGATAGTGCGCGCCACACTACCGCTATTCGCTCAAAGGCTTGTGTGCCTTTTCGCGACGAGCCCTTGATGCCATCCATGGCTTCCCAGGAAATCTCAAAATTGCCAGATTGATCTGCATTGCTATCTTGTTCTGGGCCGTTGCCTTCGAAGTAGGTGTTGAACCACACGTGAGCAACTGCAGTGACCATTGTGAGGTCGAAGGCAGCCTTGTTGCGCCGTTCGACATCAATGTTGATGTCATTGGTGGGTAGAACAACGCGCTTGGATGGACGGAAGACGACGTCGCCTGTGCCCATGGGGAGACTTTCCTGTGATGACTTTGCTTCAGCAGTGCCATCGACATTGGCCGGTTGTTCCAACGAGGACGTGCTTCCATTCTTGGAGCCCTCACTGTTCTTGGATGGGCCAAAGCCGTTCTTGTACATGACTTCCTGTACGGCCTGTGCCATACCGGTAGTCTTGACTTCGCCCCGAACAATCTCCCTTTCGTCTCGCGTGAAGGTGTGAAAGTTCTTGATGAGCTTGCCGTCCTCGACGAAGCCTTCTATTTGTATTTTGACGCCGTCACGGAGTCCCCAGCAGTGGACTTCAAGTACTTCAACCTGCCTCTCCACGTATGTCTTGCCGTGTTTCGCCCAGCGATCCACGTAGCCTATCCACCGCAGCTGGCTGGGAATGCTGACGCCTTTGCCCATGTTCGGGCGCATGCGCCGCTCGGTGAAGCGGTCGAGAGCGTCGTTTACTGGCCATCCCTCCTCACTAATCAGGTAGCTGCAACTGGCAGTACCAGACCGCCCCTTCCCGGCTTTGCAGTGCACCACCGCCACTCTGCCGGGTTTCTCGTGCAGCCAGTTGCGCATACTGGCCATGATATTGGGTATGAGGGCGAAGGGAGGCGGGTGGTGGTCAGGGAAGGGGTAGTGGTAGACACGGTTGTGCACCTCCGAGTCTGGGTAGCCCGTTCCCTCTGCGCGAAACTCCCATATGGCCCAGTCGTCGCCATGTTTGGAGTCGAGGAACTTGACGAGCGCATCCAGTGGATTGCGGTAGGCGCGCTGTGGGTATGTGCCGCTTGGGCCTGACGTGGCGATGACTAGGCAGCATCAGCACGCGAAAAAGCGATATGAAGACAGGCCGTATGTACTGTTGTCTGTCACATAGCACAGGTCGAGTCCTGCCTCAGCGTGCCTGGCGCGAGGGCCCGCTACTAGTTGGCGCAAGAGCGACGCCTACAACCGTCAGTTCGAAACTCCCAAGTCGCGCATTTATTTGCCCACCATTTATTCCGGCGACCGTCTGCTGTGTTTGTGAGGTTTGGAGTGTTGTAGGTACATAGCCATGTTCGGAGCGCAAGGGACTCGTTCCAGGTGCCAGTCGGCAGGCGCGGTGGGTACGTCACACCTATGCTAAGCTTTTGTGCTCAGACCTGCCGTCTTCTTCCAGCCACAGCCACAGAACAACCACAGAACAACCACCATCAATCCTGCCAGCTAGTCCATGCACGCAAGCTACTCTTGTTCGGTGCCATGAACAACACATGACGCATCAAGCACATTGCTTTCGACGATGATCATATGCCACTCTTTTCTTTTCTTCTCTTCTCTTCAACCTGGCTCAGAAGACATTAATGTGCGTGTTATTGCCGCACTACGTATGCAGCCGCGCCACTTTCAGAAGGAGCACGCAGGTAAGCCCGTATGGCGGGTGTGACATCGGCCCAAGAAACATAGTATCTTCATCTTCATCAATGGTGATTAGTCTATCGATACAAACTCAACAAGCTGTGGAAATAGGGTTAATCAAAATTTTGTGAGTGAGATTGGTTGTGCTGGACACAAGAATCAGCCAGAATTGGGGTAGTAAACATCTGATCAACACTTTTTTAACCGCAAGAAGGGACTAACGGCTAGAGTAAATACACCATTACACACGAAAACCGCTTAGAGTGTACGATGGAGTATCGTTGACCCATGGCAACAGACTGACAGATTCAATTGATCAGCGACAAAGCAAATAATAGCGCTGACTGGTTCGAGCATCTGACATCCATGATCCACCGTGCTCATGTGTTGAGAAGACTACGGTACTAGTGTATCCTGGGGAAGAAACTCGTCGACATATATAAGGAATAGGATCCGACTTGCTAAACCATCATCAGCCATCAACCTAACAACCACAGTCGCTACTTCTCTCCATTTCAACCACACTCGTTACTTCTTCATCCCAACCACACTCGTTACTTCCACAGTCTCAATCATGCTTTCCAAGGTCACCATCGCATCCGCCCTCGTGGCCGCCACGTCTGCCCTCCCCAACGCTATAGCCCCCGGCTACTACTCTGCTTACCAGCAACTCGCCTGTTTCGACAGCCTCACCGGGCCGCCTGTCGCCCTCACTCAAATCGGTCAATACCTTGATCTCTACTTCCAGGGTATTTACCTGGTCCCCACCTTCAACCTTCCCATCCAGCCGGGTGTCAAGCCCAACACCCCCAGCAACATGGCGGGATTCAACCTGATCAACCTCGCCACCCTTAATGGCCCCCCTACCATCTCAACAGAGAAGGCCGACAGCAACGTCGACTTCTTCGACCTAGAGTCCTTCTACTACGGCTGCGTTATCCCCACCCAGGAGACTGTCGCCAGTCTTCCCGTTAGCTGCGACATTACCGTCACTGGTTTCTCTGATACCGCAGGTACCATGAAGACGTGCGAGCAGAGCTTTGAGTACAGGGTCGATGGTGTACCTTCCGCTGTAATTGGTGGCACGCCAATTGGTGAGAAGCCTGTTACGGTCAGCAAGGAGATGATGAAGGCGACTTTGGGTGCCAAGTTCAAGGGCCTGAAGAAGGTCATGTTCTCGGTCCAGGGTAAGTCGCCTGTGTCGGGTGTGCTTACCGCCGCCTTGTTGGACTCTATCTCGTACACCTCTTACACCAAGTATGCGGACAACCAGGTTCTTTCCGTCGCCCAGGCCATGTAAACGAGAGTGGATTAGAAAAAGGTGGATGGGGCAAGTGCGTGGGGGTTGTTAATGGTGAGGGGTGACGGTGATTGAGTGGTGTATGTGCTTGTGGGGTTTAATATGTCTTTTACTCTTTTGTAATTATCCATTCCTATTCTATAGGCGATGACCGTCGGAACCATAATACCAATCATGTTACATTTTGGACAACTGGCGGCAGGTACGAAGTCTTGAGTGATTACCTGTTATCTACGTCGAAGTGATGTGCCCAGGCTGATTTGAGCCCATGACTGGCTCTGATAAGTTTTATCTTTCTTACAAGCTTCGCCCCTCTTTTCGTTCCCCTCCTGAGGACGCGTATCCTGCGACCGGCACTTACCGTGACAGCAGCGCAGTAATCCCATTTCAATAGCATGATAGAGATTTCCCTTGGGATTTCGAATCAGCACTTTTGGTATTACTGATCATAACATTATATTTATCCCAAAGACTATCTATAGCTTTTGTTGTCGCGTGGGTATGTTGGGGGTTGTGTAAGCTGGACCCCCGCATTGACTAACAATGCGAGCCGCGAACAAATGACATCAGGCCTCACACCGCTAACCTGTATCCTGCATGAGCTTGGTGAAGCTTCCCCCACAACTCAATTGCTCCTGCCGAAATGTCACACTAGATCTCTGAGCAGCTTGCAGATAAAATGTATTGATGCCGGTTCATCTTGTTCATTGATATGAGTATCAATGACTCTATTCAGTTAGCAGTCACACAATACCCCTAACAGCCAGTCATTTGCTACTTCAACCATACCAAGTCGGTCTTGCAGCACAATCGCTTTGTAAAAGATGATGGCTCAAATTCAGCGACCGCTCATGATTCAGTCGCAATTCATACGGCTATGCTGTCCGCGCACGGCGAGGAGAACAACCAAGGCGCTGTTTGCAAGGGGGAACTTCCAGCGCAAGTTGCACACCAAGACGGTTACCGACAACGACATATCACGCCTTGCAAGCCTGCCGTTACATCCGCTAACGCTCGCTGATCTCGTCAAGTGAGTGTCCTTACCTGGCGAGTGTGGTGGCGGTGCGCGATTGATAGCCAGCTAACGCTGTCGCGTGCGCAATAGACACGGACGACCACCACTTACAACACAACAACTACTTACTTCGGCAAACTTTACACTTTCTATCCTCCCCGCCCGCCTCGCGCACCGCATCCAGTCGCTCCGCAATCTCCCCTTCATCGTCGTCTCGAATCCTAATGTCTCCAAGATTCACTCGAATTACATGCACAGTCTGTCGACTTTGCTACCATGGGCTGAGCAGGAGATAAAGACACTCGAGGAGGAGGTTAGGTTCACAGAGGTCATGGCAGATCTCGTGCAAACACACGCGAATACAATCAGTATCCTGGCCAGAGGCTTCTTGGAGGCAAGGAAATACATCAGCCCGAAGGATGTGACGCGTTTCTTGGACGAGCATCTTCGGGCGAGGATAGGCACAAGATTGATCGCCGAGCAGCACTTGTCACTGCACTTTTCGAGCCAACCGCATTGCGAGGTCATGCATGATGTGGAAGACAATCCGGGGTACATTGGTGTCATCGACACAAGACTGAAGCCAGCGCGCATCGTGGACCACTGCGCTAACGTCGTGGGTGAGATCTGTGAGCTCAAGTACGGTGTTCGACCTACGGTTGTCATCAATGGAGAGCCCGACTACGAATTCGCCCACGTTCCCGTACATCTCGAATACATCATTACCGAGCTTCTCAAGAACGCATTTCGCGCAACAGTCGAAAGCGGCATGGAGCGCGAACCCATCGAAGTCACTATTGCCCCGCTTCCAGAACTTTTACCCGAGGACACAAAGAGCACAGAGTCGGAAGACATACGCAACGAGAAGGTGGAGAATGACGACCAGGGTAACACAGATGTAGCTTCGCAGCGCTTTACAGGCAACAAGTCGACTACCTCTCCTCCGACTGCTTCCAACATCCTCCCCCTCAAACACAGCACGCCTGGCGTAACGATTCGAATTCGCGACCGCGGTGGTGGCATATCGCCCGAAAACATGGCTCACATATGGGACTATAGCTTTACGACGTTCAACGACTCACAAGCATCGTCGACACTTTCTGGTGGTAACCACTCGGGAAATGGTATGGATGCACTGGGGGCTTTCTCGGGGGCTGGAGGCGATGGAGCACATAGTCTTGCAGGACTGGGCTATGGACTGCCGCTTGGAAGGGCATACGCAGAGTATTTTGGGGGAGGCATTGCGGTGCAGAGCCTCTGGGGATGGGGAGCCGATGTTTATCTCAGTTTGAGGGGTGTGGGAAGGGTGGAGAATGTTGAAGAGGCGGCAGAGAGTGCAAAGAGGAAACAAAGATAGTAACGTGGGTTTGGATGTCTTTCATCGGTGCTATCTATATACCCCGGTGTCATAGCCATGCATTACACCATCATGTTCTCATGTTTACATCTGAATCTTGTCTTGCCATCAGCCTCGCTCTGGGGAGACGACTATTGCGTACGGACCTCGGCGTCCTTTTCGACGGTGACGTGCTCGTTGGACTCGAGGGTTGTGACGGCGTCGTCGGGGATCTCAGCACTGTGTTGGCTGTCAGTATATGGTGGATGAGGACATGTAAAGGGGTGCGTACGTGAAGCCCTTGATCAAGGTGAACTCGTTGACAATCTTGCCGCCTTGGTCGGTGACGTGCTTCTTGGCGGCATCGAGCTGCTCCTGAGGAGCGTCCTTCTTGAGGGTAATCTTGGGTCATTAGTACCCAACGTTGTGAGCTTGGGTAGGTATACACACGTTGAACTGGGCCATGGTGAAGGTGGTTTGCTGTGTGTTGTGGGTTGTAGAGTTTAGTTGATGGAGGGGCTTAGTAGTGTTGTTACAGTAAGAGCAAAGCTTATCGGTGGTTTATATACCACAGACCAGCCTTACAGTAGAGGAAGGGCCCTGTCACTAGCCAGTCTAGAGCCTTGAATATGCGCAATCTGACCATGACGTGCGTTGTCCAGCCCACCCACCAAGGTAGCATGTGAGCCCAGGTGCCCCACCATCAATACGTGGAAGGCACGCTAGCTTATCGATAAGCCCACCCCTGCGACAGCTCTAGCGTCTGGCTTAGCGCCGAAAAAGTTAGGACCGAGAAGTTGGTTGCGGCTGCAGCACGACTTTGCGCGCGACCAAGCCGACAGCTCCAAAACACCCTCTGCCCTTTTCTGCTGTCAATTCAGAGTGAATCAGCAGCATGGCGGATACCCAGAGTAACCGGCCGCATCGGCCCAAGAAGGAGAAGAAGCCGCACAGTGGAGACAAGAACCCAAAGGCTTTCGCATATGCAGCGCCTGGCAAATTGAAGAGGCAGGCGGCGCGCTCTACTGAAGTATGAGGCATGCTGGAGAATGCGCGCGATTCTGGCTAATTCTCGCAGGTCAAAGAAAAGCGCCTTCACGTCCCACTCGTCGACCGCCTTCCCGAAGAAGCGCCCCCAATCATCGTAGGCGTAGTCGGCCCTCCAGGTGTCGGAAAGACGACTCTCATCAAGAGCTTGATCAGACGATACACGAAGCAGACCCTCTCCACCCCCACCGGCCCGCTCACCGTCGTAACCTCGAAGCGCCGACGTCTCACCTTTATAGAATGTCCCGCCGATTCGCTCGCCAGCATGATCGATGTCGCCAAGGTGGTTGATATTGTGCTGTTGATGATTGACGGTAATTACGGGTTTGAGATGGAAACTATGGAGTTCTTAAATGTCCTCAGCGCAAGCGGTATGCCGGGTAACGTCTTCGGTATATTGACGCATTTGGATCTGTTCAGGAAGCAGGAAACACTCAAACTGCAGAAGAAGAGGCTAAAGCACAGGTTCTGGAGCGAACTGTACCAGGGCGCAAAGCTCTTCTACCTCAGTGGTGTGGTGAATGGACGGTACCCGGACAGAGAAATCATGAATCTTTCGAGATTCTTGAGCGTCATGAAGAACCCTAGGCCGTTGGTGTGGAGGAATTCGCATCCGTATTGTTTGGCGGATAGGTTTCTGGATATCACACCCCCGACCGATATCGAACAAAATCCAAAGTGCGATCGGACGGTAGCATTGTATGGATACCTTCGTGGCACAAACTTTCCTGCAGGAGGGTCGCGAGTGCATATACCAGGTGTGGGCGATCTTACCGTCACTTCGACAGAAGCTTTGCCCGACCCATGTCCGACACCGTTTGCAGAGAAGGCGGTTGAGAAGGCGTCGGGGAAGAAAAAGCGCACAAGACTCGGGGACAAGCAAAAGGTTCTGTATGCGCCCATGTCGGATGTTGGTGGTGTCTTGGTTGACAAGGACGCTGTTTACATTGACGTGAAGACTGCTACATTCGACCCAGAGGCAGACTACTCAGAGAAAGGTCTGGGAGAGCAAATGATGATTGGTCTGCAGGGCGGAAGAAAACTGCTAGGTGAAGATGACGGAAACTTCCGACTGTTCAGGGACGGCGAGGCTGTAGACAGCAAGAACCTCGATGAAGATGTTGAAGACACTGGCCGACGATCACAGAGGACAGCTAGAGCTGCTGCTGGCGAAGACGTCGATGATGCAGATCTTGATGGCATTGCCAGCGACGACGAAGAGCTACAGCAGGACCATAGCGATGCCGACGACGATGAAGATGATACAGGCTTTCTCAACAGCAATGGCCCATCGAATGGCAAACTGAAAGTTGGACGCAAAGAAAAGGATGCCACCGAGGCGCAGCTGAAGATGTGGCCTTTGCAGACAGTGATTCAGACTTGGGCTCAATATCTGGCGACGAGCCTGACTTGGAAAGACCTCGAAGAGGGCGACCTAGACTCATTAGATTCTGACGACGACGATGCTGAAGATGGGGCGCGATGGAAAGCAAATCTCCGCGAAAATGCTGCAAAGCTACAATGGTAGGAAACGACCGTACCGCGTCACCGACCTTGCCAAGATGATGTACAACATGGACCTGGCCCCCGAAGAAGTCATCAAGAAGTGGAGAGGGGATGACAATGAGGAGGATATTGAGGAAGAGGGTGACGAAGATGGTGACTTCTTCAACAAGTCAAAGGAAAATGCTTTTGCTATTACCGAAGACCGCTACATTCCCAAATACAACTACGAGGAGCTAGCCGAGAAGTGGGAAGATGAAGAGAATGTTGAGGCCCTGATGGGTCGTTTCGCTTCAGGCCATATGAATGGCAAGGGAGGTGACGACGAAGAGAATGACGACGACTTTGAGGGCTTCGATGAGGATGATGAGGGCGACGGAGAATTCGAAGATTTAGAGACGGGCGAGAAGCACGGTGGAGAAGTTGAGAACACCGGAGCAGAGGCGGAAGCAAATTCGATTGAGGCAGAGCGTGAAAAGAACGCGCGGAGAAAAGAGGAGCTCAAGTTGCGATTCGAAGAAGAAGATCGAGAGGGCTTCATGAACGACAAAGCCGATGCGCGAAAAGAAGCAGGCCAAGAAGAAGAGTTTGGCGAAGATGATTGGTATGATGCGCAAAAGGCCATGATACAAAAGCAGCTCGACATCAACCGCGCTGAATTCGACCAACTCGACGAGCTATCGCGTGTTCGTGTTGAAGGTCACAAGGCAGGGACGTACGCCCGTATCGTCCTCGAAAACGTTCCTTACGAGTTCTCCGCACACTTCAACCCGCGCTTCCCCGTTCTTATCGGCGGGCTCACACCAACTGAAGAACGCTTTGGCTACGTCCAAATACGTATAAAGCGACACAGGTGGCACAAGAAGATCCTCAAGACTAATGACCCGCTCATCTTCTCTCTGGGCTGGCGCCGATTCCAAACCCTACCCATCTACAGCATCTCCGATTCACGAACGAGGAACCGCATGCTCAAGTACACACCGGAGCACATGCACTGCTTCGGTACTTTCTACGGCCCACTTGTCGCCCCAAACACAGGTTTCGTCTGCATCCAATCTCTCTCCAACAAAACACCCGGCTTCCGTATCGCCGCCACCGGCGTCGTCCTCAACGTAGACGAAAGTACGGAAATCGTAAAGAAGCTCAAGCTCACAGGTCACCCCTACAAAATTTTCAAGAACACCGCCTTCATAAAAGACATGTTCAAATCAGCACTAGAAATCGCAAAGTTCGAGGGCGCAAGCATACGCACCGTATCCGGTGTACGCGGCCAAATCAAGCGCGCCCTCAGCAAACCAGAGGGAAACTTCCGCGCCACGTTTGAAGACAAAATCCTCATGAGCGACATCGTCTTCCTGAGAGCCTGGTACCCTATCAAGCCCCGCCGCTTCTACAACACCGTCACCAACCTGCTCGCCCCCGCCACCCCCGACCTCGAAGGCGAAAGCACAAGCTGGCAAGGCATGCGCCTGACGGGTCTCGTCCGCCACGAAAACAACCTCCCCACCCCCTCCGACAAAAACTCTGCCTACCGCCCCATTACCCGCGAAACACGCGTCTTCAACCCCCTCCGCGTGCCCCGCAAACTCGCCGCCGACCTGCCGTTTAAATCGCAAATCGCAACAACTAAACCACAGAAGAAACAGACATACCTCCAGAAACGCGCCGTGGTGCTCGGCGGCGAGGAGAAGAAGGCCAGGAGGCTGCTTGATCAGGTCGTCGCAATTCGCAATGATAAGGTGGAGAAGAGGAGACAGAAGCAGCAGGAGCGCAAGGATCCGTATAAGAGGAAGGTCAAGGAGAATGAAGAGAAGAGGGCGGAGAGGGAGAAGAGGGAGAAGCAGGAGTATTGGGCTAGGGAGGGGAAGAAGAGGAAGGGTGATGCTGGGGAGGGAGGTGGTTCTGCGAAGAGAAGGAAGTGAGGGGGGTTGTTGTGTGTGATGAGCATCGGATTGGCGTTTTTCTATATTGTTGTGGTAGGTGTTGTTGTAGTGGAAGAAAATGTATTTGATCGATTACTTTTGATTCGAGATGCCACATATCCACATCTACACACAATCTCATTAACACTACGCTATGCTATGCTATGCTATGTTACACTATATCCCATCCATCTCTCTCCTTTTCTCTTCTCCATCTTCTCTTTTCTCTTCTCCATCTTCTCTTTTCTCTTCTCCATCTTCTCTTTTCTCTTCTCCATCTTCTCTTTTCTCTTCTCCATCTTCTCTTTTCTCTTCTCCATCTTCTCTTTTCTCTTCTCCATCTTCTCTTTTCTCTTCTCCATCTTCTCTTTTCTCTTCTCCATCTTCTCTTTTCTCTTCTCCATCTTCTCTTTTCTCTTCTCCATCTTCTCTTTTCTCTTCTCCATCTTCTCTTTCCTCTCCATTATTACTATTTACCCCACTCATTGCCAGCAAAGTGTATATATTAAGAAAAGAAAAGAAAAATGCCATAGGGCAATAATCATGATAACCGTCATCGCAGATGAGAAGTTGTAGTAAGAAGAGAAAAGTGTGTACAGCAAAAAACGCCAACACGGCACTCATGGCCGAGACTATGCAACTAGTAACAAGAAAGGCAAGGGTATTAAGCGCCTACAAAAGACCTCCCACACAGAAAACGCTTTAACCCCTTATTAGACAGACAGATAGACAGACAGAGGAGGAGGAAGAAACCGATATATAAAATTTTACGCTGCCTTTTTTCTAACAACCCTCTCCTGTCATGGACGTTTCTTCCTCTTCTCCAGCCCCGCACTCGTCTCTCCTGCTTCATCTTCAAAATCCACTTTCTCTCTCTCGCTCAACAACGACGAAGACGACGATCTAGTCGTAGGTTCAAAGTGAATAGCAACAAGCCACGCACAAAGAATATTAGCCAAATGGTGCAACACATACGCATACGTGACACCATAAACGGCCGCGTAAGCGCCAATAGAAAATAACAAGACATTAGTAAGCAGCGAGATGGGAAAATCCGCTCGGGGGATCATGCGGCCGGTACTAAGCGTTTCGACGAGCAGGATAAAGGGCATGATGGAGAGGATGTTGTGGTGCGAGGAAAAGGGTGTGAGCCAGTGGACGGCGAGGTTGCGGATCCAGACGACTAGGACGGGGAGGTTGATGGGGAGGATCCAGAGCATTAGGATCAGGATTGAGTGAGCGTAGTTGTAGAAGTTGTAGGTTGAATCCAGGTTGGATTCGCGGGCTAGGCGGAAGGCGCGGACGCTGGTGCCGAGTTGGACGAGGCAGAGGACGACGTAGGCGAAGTGGTAGGGGATTACGGTTGATACTAGTGAGAGGAGGATGCAGGTGGTGAGGACGCGTTGGCGGTTCGAGGTTACGGCAAAGGCTGATAGCGATATCTTGGGTTCTTCTTTTCCAACGATCGAGGCACGGACGATGGAATAGGCAGATGCTAGGATTAATTCGAGTAAAAGCGCGACATAGTTGATTGCTACGCAGACGCCGATACACATGAGGCCGAAGAGCGGAACGAGGAACCAGAAGAAGATGTCGTCGGAGCCGAGGAGTAGTTCGTTGCTGGCGTTGTCGAGCAGTGAGGTCATGTTGGAAGAGGTCTCGCCGACGGACCACTTCTTTTGGTACTGAGCACCAGCCAAGGCAATCGACAAGAACGTCAGCGCGGATAGAGCGAGAGGGAGCGAGGTCAATAAGCACTCGTTCAGCCCTTGTGTGAAGCTCATGAAGACGCCCATCTTGTCGTACGTCCGGAATTGTTGGCGCAAGACCAAAGCGACAACGAGTATCGGAAAGGCGGCAAAGACGATGCGGTAGCGCATCCAGAGCTTTCCGAGACTACCGAAGAAGTCCACATTGAGGTTGATTTCCACGCTGCTGTCGCATGTTGGATCCGACCAAATCTGCATCGACACCCCATTTGTTGGTTGTTTGGCGTGAAGCGATGGCGGCATGTATGGTGCTACACCATGCAGACTGAAACCCGCATCTTTGACGTTTACAACAAACTTGCTTTCGTAAACATCGGTGACGTATTGTCGTAACAAGGGGGCGAAGAGCTCTCCAGTGTCGCACGACTGCTTGCCAACGTGGATGTTGTAAGCCAAAAGCGCAGAATGGAGAGCTGGGATTTTAATGTCCGTCATTAGCGGACGCTGTGCTGGAAGTCGAAGTGAGAGTCCGGTGGTCAATAGGCGCTGCAAACCCATGTCGACTGTAATTTGAGACTCAGAAGAGGCGCTGAACTCGGCTATAACCCAGCCTGTGCTGCGCTCACCGGCTTTGTCCACCACAGCGACGAATTGATGTTCGGTAAGATCTTCGAGATCATACTGCAAGTATGAGAATGGACGCTCGTCGGCGCTGAATGGATGTATCGAATGCCGAGTCGAGGCAGGAAGAGCAATCACGTCCGATGCGGCGTTCTTACAAGCGAGCCGTGTTGCGCCCACGCCATCGCCTGAAAGATCCATGTTCATCGAAAAGAGTGTAGTCGATTGGCCAGGTTGAGAAGGAAACACGGTGCAAAACAGTACCTCAAGCATGCCGTTGGTACCGGGCTGATCCAGTTGTTCGTTGGTGAGCAGAGTAAATTTCTTGCCCGGTGCTTGTGGTGGCACAGGCATCAGGTGAGCGTTTGGTCTCTGCTTGGATTTCCCGAGAGATCTAAGCACAAGCCTTTCGCCCTCTGCGATGATGGCACTGTCCTCTTCCAGTGTGAGGAGAGTTTTGGCTTCCTTGTGAGGCAGGGTCTTCTCTGCGATGTCCTCCAGGCCCGTCAAGAACCATCTCTTGAAGCCACGCATACGTTCAGCACGTGGTACAGTCTGGGTCGCGCGTGAAACATCAATAACATCGTACAAGGCGCGTACAACAGCCTTTCGGTGCTGATCACACCAAGTGATGGCAAGATGGTCGATACCAGTCCAAACATTTGGCATCGAAGTCGAAAAGACGGTGAATCCATGCGTCTCGGGAACTAAAGATTCGATGCTCGCGTAATCGGAGGAAATTGTAGTATCCAAGGCTCCTCCTGCAATGGAAATAAGGGTGACGTGCCATAGTGGGTTGTCGATGGCCCACTTTTGCGAGTAGGCGTGTCGCCAGTAGTCATTCACTGCCTTGTACGTGCGGACAATATCCCCATCAAAAGACACCGGCGGCCTAGCATGTGGCGCAGCAAGGGTGATGATGGTGTTGATCGAGTTGGCTTGGTAGTTGGTCATAGTGAGCATAGTGCGGGCAACAACACCACCCATGGAGTGTCCGACGATGATGACTGAAGTCGGATCCGGTAGGGTGGAGTCGCGTAGAAACTTGCCCGGGGTATGGTACAAGGATAGAATGTATGTGATGGCATCGTTGAGATATTCGGCCTGGTCTAGCAGGGTTTGGCCGTGAAAAGCAGTAATGTCTTCGTTGAAGTCGACGGAAAAAAAGTCCAGCGGCCTCTTCCCAGCCTTGCCCGCGTCGACATCGTGTTGGACAGCGTTGTGGTAGTGGTATGCGGCTTCCGCGGCGAGGGAGCGCACTTGCTTGTAGCTGCCAGCGTTTCCGGGGACGAAGAGTACGGGCACGCCTTTGACCTGAAGATTGTCAGTACGGAGCGTCTTCAGAGGAAGGATCGACATGCCCTAGGGTCTTCATCCACACCGCCCTCCCGGTACAAGTATAGCGAGTACTTGCTCGCGAAGCGCGTATGTTCGGTATCGAAGTCGTGGTATCTCGCGTAGTTGGGCCGCATGTATGACATTCCACACCCTTTGACGTCCAACTGCCGTGTCAAGAACGACTGGGCCATAAAAAACATGGTGACAAATGCCGCTAGCATGGTCAACAACATGTAGGGTGAAGGGGTCCATGGGCTGCGAAGCCGCCGGCGCCATTTGCGGTTATGGCCCTCGACCATGGTGTGCGGTGGCATGTCCGTGGCCAATGCTGGTATTTGGCCTCCTGCCTTCTCGTGCGCCATGTCCGTCTGCCGCTGTATCTTCACAAGAGGGTCGTGTACGGGCAGCTGTTCCGTCACCAGACCCTGGCCAGGCGCGTCCGCACCGTCGGTCCGCCTCTTTTTACTCGCCCAGTCTGGGCTTTTCACTGGGCAATCCCTCGGTTGGACTGCTGGTCTTATCGTCATGTTCTGGGCGTGTGGTAGGTGAAAGTTCGGCAGTCGAGTCGGGCTGGTGTTGCTCTGAGCTGGCGTCGCGACGAGCGCGTCGCATCTAAAAGCGTGCCTCGCACTGAGTGGGGGTGCGAGTCGAGCCTGCCGTATTAGGGTGTGGGCGTGAATTGCTGGCCTGACGTTGATTGCTCTTTCCTCCGGCTTCGGTCGCACCTTCGCTAATCGTCAATCGCCAAGTCGTCCGGTCGTGTTCTGAAGCGACAGTGAGGGTCGGGAATTGGACTCGGACAAGACCTGGATGACCCGTATTAGTGCTCCGGTAGTCTGTGGGAGCGGCGCAAAAAATGTTGAGTGCAGAGAATGCACGCTGGGCGTGCTTGGGTGTTTGGGGAAAGGGCGTCGCAAGCTGCCAAGGAGAGCGGAGTCTAAATCTTTAAACCGTCAACTATCGAGCGACGGCGTCACCGCAAGGCCCTCAGAGCGGCCAAAGATGGCAACCGGCCTCTTCGGAAGATCTGCAGCAGCGGCGAGCCTCGCAAACCGACTTCCACGGAGCGGCTGAATACGATATGCGTCTTATCACGACATCACCATGTCAGACGTCAGATGTGGTTGTGAATGTCATCTACTTGGCGCTGTTGTTGTCGCCCACCCGGCGACTCTATGGCTTGAACACAACGCCTCTGTAATGACGACGCGAATCACTGGGTACAGGCTGGGTACAGATTCATTTGCCCGCGCACCGTCCATGCACACCTCCTGACTAGCCCCTCGTTCAGTACAGCAATGAGTGAACAAGAACAACAACTAAGTCCATAGCCACTCTCTTTCGATAACTTCACCACTTTGTGGCTGCATGTGAACCAGGTTAACAGATGCACTTGGCGTCGCTAAAATCCGCCACAGCCGCGTTCCCGGTCTGAGACTTTGGCTTGATTTCGCCCGCGACGCGCTTCGCAAGGGCAACCCCTCATGTCTACAACGTCACGTTGCAATACGACATTGCGATGCGAGCCACCACTACCAGTACGTCTAGATTTCGGAGCATGAGCCACTCGGAAGGATTACTTCGCTAGTACCCGGTATCACGAAATTACCGATCTGGCATCATCTCCACTCACATGCGCCCCCAGACGCCAAGTCAGGATTAAACCTCATTCTAGCCGTATATCCGACGGCTAGTCCTGCCTGATTAGGCACCTGGAACATGTCAACATCATCATGACACTGGCATGTATCGCAATGCCACATATGTAGATATTCCTGCTATCATGATCTTCCTTGCGTTTTCAAACAGTACGCTTATCACGTCCCTAGACCCAACCCATGACATTCAAGCTATTCGCACCTCAGACATAGGTAGGCAGAGATTGGTAGGAAGAGCTTCTCCACGTAGTCTAAAAATGGAAAATCCCTGCTACATGTAGCACAACAATGTACGCGTAATCTTGACATGAACATGTCACAGTACGCCGACACGCCAATGTATCCATTTCGGCAGTTGTTTCCGCGTCTCCAAAACAATATACATGTTCCATGTACGTTCTAAATTGGAAGATCTACCAAGGATCCTATCGAGAAGCTCCAGCTGGGTATCAGCTCTTGAGCGTGCACATCGCCAACCCTCTCCCAGAACGCAGAAAACCCAAGAGCCCCGGTTTTGGTACCTCCCCTGATGAGAAACTGTTTATTTTCACCAGAACAGGACAAGAAACATGCGATTCCTCTTTTCAACTTTTCACTTCCTTCACGCACAAGTTTCATATGTGTTTTTTTGTTTGCCTATAATCGGCACATCAATCACCCAAAGAAACTGAAGTCTTCTCCAGACAAACCGCCCATGGGTAGGTATATACATCCTTTTGACCCGCACTCTCCGCACATTCCAATCTCTGGGTGTGTATTTATTAAAGAGAAGATTTGGCACAAGGCTCTTTCCATCCACATGGTCAGTGATCTGTTTTTTTTTTGGAATGTCTGATTTAGAAATTTCCAAAAAAGGGAAAAAGAGAGGGAAATATGGGAAGTGCATGGTGCTTATTTTCTCACATACTATGCTATGCCTACTGCGGTAACTATCCATAGTTTGGTATAGAAATGTTTTTGCACATGTGTAATATAAAAACTCCATATGCACCAGACATTCGATTTCAGTCTCATCTTTTTTTTGATAATTTAGGAACAATAAAGGAGTAGAGGACATGTAAGGGTCTGCAGGCCTATTTATTTTCTGGGGAAGTCTTATACTTTCCACATGGCGGCAGTGACTGCGGTTTTAAAAAGGTTCGGCGGGAACGCTGGTCGTGGCACCTGGCCGTGCGAGTTTTTGAAGTAAATAAGAATGAAGAAAGGAGTTGATGGTAAAGAAAGCAAGGAGAAACAGAAGGTTTTTATAGCCAGGACTACGCTAGTAAACCTGCCAAGTCTCACATGGTGATGGAGTATCCTCAATTTAATCATGTAGCCGTTGTACCAAGAGGTTCTCTCAACACCATCCGATGGCCTCCAATTTTGTTTCAGACACATGGGCATGTTGTTGGTAGGTTTTTGGAATAATAAGAGAATATGTCTACTTAGACATGTAGATTTTGTAAAGGACGCAGGTGAGCAAACCATCGTCATGTTTCCAGCATATCTAGTACGCGCAAACGCCCAACTTCCCATCAAAGGATATCCCGTTCATTTTTTAATTTCTCGAGGAGATCATTGCATTTTTTGTTGTTGGTTTTCTAGGGTAGTTTACAAAGGTCTGGAGACCGAGGAGTTTCAAAGTAAAAAGCAGAGGATAGAACTGAAGTATTTTACTCGCCCAAGAGTGGACACTTCCCCCATACTTTGTTGCCATCTATATTTTGGAAGCGCACAGCGCAAAATCATGTGCTTTACTGCTCTGTCTTTCTGCAGATTTTTTAATATGGGAATGATGTAGAGTAGAGGAGAGAAGAAAAGAATAGAAGGAGTGGAAGTTTATATAATAAAGAGACCGCTCTCGCTCTCGCTCTCTTTCTCCATACTTTCGTTTCCTGTATGTTTTGGAAGATACCGCTCTGCAAACATGAGATGGTTCCGACGGAGTTTTAGGTAATTTTGGAACTGTAGAGTCTTGTAGAGAGTAGGATAGTCCAGAACCCAAGAATTCATATACCAGCTGCTACGCACGGTTGATTTTCGCAATGTGCGTGACCAGACGCCAAACGTCCATGATCATCGCATCGTGGCTGCGATTATTTTTAGTATTTTCAAATACCCAAGACTTCTCGATTCATCACATGTATGTCCTCGTATTTTTAGAAAGTTGAAGAAAACGCCCCAGCACATCCATTAGGTGTTTGTAGTATTTTCCAAAGCGGCATCTTTGTCACCACAAATTTTCCAAAAACCATCGGCGGTGTTCACCTGCATTTTCTGAAACCCCCCCGGCAAACTTCCAGTACCCAACAGAGCCGCAAGAAAACATGCACAACCCTCAACTCTCCCTAGAACCATACGTCTAGTGCTAATCGTTTCTTAATCCTCAAACTTCTACATCACGCCGAAGCACAAGATTTTTAGAAAACGCCTAGTGTGGGGCAAACTTCAACACAGGCGGAACACATCCTTATACTTCCTTTTTTTTTAGGAAAAGGATCTCATCATCGCGAACGGGTTGATTTGTGTTGAATGTTTAGAAGGTTGGAAAGGGATATGAGGAAGGAGGAGGGAGGTGGGAGAGAATAGGAGGTTTATATAGGTAGAAAGCTGGGGGCTGACTATTCCTGTTATGGTACATAGAGTTCTGGAGAAAGTGTTTTGGCACGGTCATGTAGCACAAAAGTCCATGAGTTTAAGAGTCGTGTTTGGAAATGCTCGTGATTTTATCGAGCGATTGAACTAAAGTAGCCTTAATCCATTGATTCTATTACGACTGCGTACATGATGCTCAGCATCTTTTGAGATAATTTTTCAAACGTCGCG